TCAGCTACCTCGCCCTAGGCCAATCAAAACATATAAACTATAAAATTATGGACGTTTTTGACCAGGAGTATCAGTTACAATACAACAGTGGACTGATTAGGTTAAGTAAATCATGAGCTAATTTGTTTTTATCTCACAGACCGCAATCCTTTTCAAAGTTTTATGTTGCTGTGTACATTACTTAAAATTATGTAAACTGTCTTGACAGTGGCAAAACTAACCTAATGAAATGCATGATTTAGGCATATAACGGAAATACATGACAATTTAACACTACTGTTTACAAATTTGGAGGTTTACAAACCTTAAGAATAAACATTGTAACTAAATTAAACATCATTAAGGAATGGCAATGTAATGTAATATAATAGGTTTTTTGTGATAAATGCACTAATTTTCATTATTATTAAAATCTTGACATTTATTGAAGCTTTCTTCATAGTCAAAAAGCATGTTGTTGATTACCTTTGTGTTGTAATGAAATAAGGACCTTTTTGAATATTCAAAATGGAAAATAACAATTGACCAAGATTCTTCTTGATCTAGTTTCTCTTCCACATTAAGATCACTCTTGAGAAACTTAAAGATGAAGTAGGCTAGGCTACGGAAGGACAAATAGGCCTATCCAAACTTTTTCAGACTAGGCCTACTGCAGCTTGCACTCACGCTACCCGTTGGTTCGGCTACATCAAAAATAAGTTTCTCAGTTATGAGGAGAATAAGAAACTTGCTCTGGGGTGCGGTTCCCAAAAACATCGTTAGCCAACTATGGTCACAAGTTCCGTTGTTACCAACATAGTTCAACGATTTGGGGTTTCCCGAAACCATAGTTCAAAAGAACATTCGCAAACTGCATCGCAAACTTGTGTCGTTGGAATGACAGCTCTTCACCTGTGGTTAGAGGCATAGGTCGTGGTTAGTTTGGGGTGTGTTCTATTCAGAGTTATCAACCCTATGCCCTATTCCTTTCGAAGATTTCACCATCCACTTTGAGTGATTAGGAAGAGTTAAAGTTGTGGTGCTTAGGTCTTACCTAATTCGCCTTTAAATATTTTTTTGATTACAAATTCAGTTTGAAACTATATAGCAGCGTGGCCCTCGAAATTATTCTCCCTTCGAAGTGCCCTCTGAAAGCATTAATCATGCCGATTGGAACGCAGCCTTCGTTTCGTTTGCGCGAAGAAAAGGTGAGTTTGTCAAGTGAGTATCTTTGTTAAAACATTCATAAAGACAAATTTCTCATATAACAATATTGGTAAAACAGTATGTTAAAGGTTTTCACTTATATTAAGTGTTAACACTCAAATCACAGTATTTTTATAGTAAATGAATGTACCCAAATAAAGTAACAAAAATGTATAAATAAGTGAGTGATTTTGTTGTTTTTACAGAATTAGAATATAGAATATTCTCTACAAATGTGT